GTATTATTCCTCAGACTGCTGATACTTATTTATTACTTTTATTACTTTACCCAGACATCGAAACAATTTTCATCCTCATTGTAGATATCTAATTGTGACTGACTGTCAATAATGCACATAATTTATATAAAAAGCTTTAATTTTAAAATTAAAACTGTTTACATCAATTATTTAAAATATAACAAATATGCGATACGGATGGATATTTGTTATATCATTTGTGCTAGTCACTGAACAGATACATTGTAAGATAATCTGTGATTTAACTTTTACTTTTACACTTGTTAAATAGCTTATAACTGGCGTTAAGCTTTACGAGTCGTACGAGCAAGTAGATACATTATCAGCAAGGAAATAAAATATAAAATACATTGTTACTTAGGAAACTTATGTTATCTTTAGATATACGCATACGTAGGGCCATGTTCAGATGAAGAGCTTTGAGTGCACGTTTTGTTAAAGCGAGTAGGTATATCTACGTATTTTGTTCAAGTACCTAAGTACTTTACAACATACCAGTGTACTTTTTGATACAAAGTTGACATCTGCTTTGCGATTATTAATTTAATGCGATTTAAAAAAGCTACTGCCCTTTGGAATTATCTGCCTTATTTTTTTTTAATTTTACATTTTGGTTAAAAATGATATCACAACGAGTAAACAGAACATTTTACCGAAAACAAATTCATAAATACTGCATACGGTCAAAAACTGCAACGTAATTAATCAACAATCCCCTCCGGCCGCCAACTTGTGATAGAGTCTATGCAGACTGTTTGCACGGAATAGACATGTAGTTATTACTTTTGTGCGATACCTACGGGCAAGTAATTAGTAATAATTAGTAAGTAAGTTCAATTTTCCGGCAGGAAATTCCAATGATTTTAAACAGACTGATGGTCTGATCTGAATACACTCAGTCTTCGTTACGATGTCCCTTACACCGTGTGTACTAGCTTATTAGCTATTTTGTTAGCTTACAAAAGTACCTATAGACTTTTCACATACTAATTTACTTTAATTATTTGTTTTTATTTTTATTCCCAACAATTGATCTATACAAAGATTGGAATGTAATGTAAGGCAACAATTTATCCTGCACACGGTCCTGTACCAATGTCATAGAAGAATACCATACCAGGAAATTACCGATGTCGAAAAGATTAGATTTGCTCTCTGCCTCCTGCCCGCTTTTCTTTCATAAAACGTTTCCACATATATCTAGCTCCTTCCCTTTTTAACGAAATTAATGCAAATATACCTTCGCTATATTATATAGTGCTCAGTATACGAACTAAGCTACTTTGATTGTGAAAATACTGTTGGCCTATTTTTACAAATATATATTATGTTACGACGATACTGAGGCACTTTGGGCTAAATGACGTCACTTATCAATTGCACACCCTAACACACTCAGTACAAACATACATAATACTCATGCATTACTCATACAGAGACACACATTCACACATAACATATATTAACTAGACATTAACCATTAAAACACGTGCTACACTAATTTCCACCTTTTTAGAGTCTTCAGGACTGTCTTATCCGTAACAGTCCTAACACTGATTATTCTGTAGCCTGGCTGGGGGGTTCAAATTGTAGCACAAACTATTCTTAAATCTAAAAATTGTAAGCCCACAATCTTGTTTATACCATAAAAAATTATTGTTATTATTTCATCATAAAAAACAGAAAGCCAATTAAATATGAATACTATAGTATTTTACAGGTATCTACTGATAAAAACAGACTTTTTAGTGTTAATTGTTTTTGTCATGATAATTTGGGTACTATATTTAGTAGTATATTACATTATAAAGGTATATAGGTATAGATATTATACCTATATTATTGTTGTATACTAATGAAAAGTTTACTATAGTAGATATTTAAGGAAGGATACAGTTTTATTAGTTGCAATAATTATAACATTTACAAACCTAAAGATTCTGCGAAGGTGGATAGAATAGCACAGACTATATAAATTTTTTCTATAAGAATATTGGTCAGATTCAAGATTTCAATATAAAAAATTAACCACTTATAAAACATCTACTCAGCTTCCAATTTACGCATAATGATTAATTAGCGGCCAGCTCTTGAGAGAATGGTAATTATCTCCCAAATGCTCCACCCACCATATCTTGTTGGGTGGTATTGTCGTGAAAAATGTCCGACCACATTACTCAGACCTTAATTATGGCGAGGCTGTCTTATCGATAAACAAAGTTTAATGTTATTTGAGATAGTGAGGTTACAAATCTAAAAACATGTTTGGTTTAGAAATAAATGTAAATAAGTAATTGCTGAATTGTTAAAAACAAGTTAAAGTTACAAAAACAGTTACATCTCTAATTACAGTTTCCTACATATCGTTTTCTGGCCTTCCTTTTAATGTGTACAAAATTAGATTTTTTATGGCTCGGCGTAATGTAGTTTTAATTTTCCACTCTAGTCTATCATTTCACATACATATCTTTCCTTCAAGCATTCTACATAAATATCCACCTCCTCCTTGATGGGCCCTACTCGTGCACCCTCCAATTTGCGTATCGATAAGCCACTCAGTCTCATTCACTCGTTTTACTCTCACAATTAGTGCAGCTTATTTAAATGTGACGGCTTATTTAAATGAGTCAATACATTTTTTTACTATAATTAGGTATTTAAAGAAAAAATGTTGCGTGTTTTCGAACGCAACTGTTCGGATGTTACGCATACCATACATATATTGATATAACCAGACTGATTGCTTGCCAGAAACTTATTTGAGTATAACCTTAGATATATTAAAAAAGTTACACATTCATTCTATTAAAAACATAATTCAGAAATATTGTCTATTGATGTTTTTTTTTAGAGTGAAACTTTCTAAGAATCGTTTTGAAACTTTATGAAACGAAAACCCGTCACGATAAAGAAACAAATACATAAATGTATAGCCTAGGTATAAGTCAGCGAGAGAATGAGAAAGAATACGTTACACATTATTTTTAATATGTTTTTATCTTTTTATTTAATACTAGCTGGTACCCGCGCCTTCGATCGCGTTTAATTTGAAAAAGCTGCCTTAGTGGGTTCGATTCTCAGGCCGGGCAAAATTTTATAGGGTTTTTCTGAGATTAAAAAAAAACATTAAAATTATATTTTTTTCGGAAGCTTCACTTTTGCATTATGTAAATCGCACACACACTTTTGATTTTTTTTAAGCAAAAGCAGCCACGCTCACACAAATGAATCTTATTTCTATTGTCGATTTTAGTTAGAAATCCCGTAAAGTGTAGTAATATCTATTTTGAGCGATAAACAACATCGTGCGGTCCTATTCACCCGAAAGTGTCATCATCCATTGGTTTGGGACGCCGAACAGCATGCGAGACTATGATCCATGCTGTTATGTATTTATATACTTTTACAGATGTTTTAAATTTGTTATAGAAGTTAAGAATTCTAAATTTATTGTTAATAGTGAAATGTGTCAAAGGTCTACATCACATACATGGGATGTCGGATACAATATTACTTTATGGGCCCGGCTCTAGGAAAAAAGTTCTGTATAGGTACATATTGAAAATATCTTTAATAAATCGTTTGCCTCTATTTTTAAGATTAATAATATGTCAAAAGTGAAGTTGCATAGAACAGAATAGAAGTAAATTAATTAACATCATCATCATCAACAGCCTTTAATAGTCCACTGCTGGACATAGGCCTCTCCTTAGAAAGGAGGTTTTGGCCTACTATACCGCGATGGCCAGCGGGTTGATATAGGGTTTGTGTCAAGTTTTCCTTCTCTTTGCAGTGCTGGTGTCCTGCGTTGTTTTGCGCCCTTAGTTAAATTAATTATGCAGGCAAGCAATTACCACCATTATTCTAGAAGAATTTGTGTACCATTTTGCATCTAACGCAGTAGACCCAATATAGGCACATAAAGAGACCAAACCTGGTGAGGACCTTTGGTACCCACTTGAACCACAGCATACCTTCTAGGATACATAACCGTCTTTGCTTCTAAGAACTTGAGTTACATTAGGCACGTACAAATATCCCAGCATTGCGAAATGTTAGCGCGTTTCAGCGTGCGCGGGCGCCGGCCGTCGCCTTTAGCGGCGTGGGTATTTCGGGCGCACTCTTACTCGAGTTACAGACCTGACCATACATGCTACTGACACACTATTACTGTGTTTGAAAATATAATCAGCTGTCCTATTTAATGAAGATTACGTACATATATATTCTACTTAACTGTTGTAGCTATTATTTTCGTATTTATACGACGGCTTGCTTGCTCTCTAGTGAGCCAGATATTGCTGGTTCGATTTTCACTTACACTAGCAGGGCAAATATAATGGTTTAATTAGCACGAGGATTTGTTCTGTTTGGGTGTAAGTTATTTGGACCTGGTATCTAATATTTAATTATGTTTATGAGTGTATATAAGTAGCTTCGCCTAATTTAAGACCAGACGACTGTGTGTAAGGTGTCTCAGGTTTTTATTTCCTTACTACATTGTCATTAGCTTAGTACGATAATAATAAATATAGTTAGCTAATTTCAAATCTTTAACATAAATTGTAAAAGCATTTTTTACCTTGATGAGATTGCCTCAGCATCCGATAGCGTCGTATTCAGTTGTCCTCTCAATTTTAAATGTTTGCCAAATTAGACAGTTACGTAGATATATTTTTTTATATTAGGGCAAACAGGCTGCACCAGGGACTTCCTTTCTAGGGTATACCTGGTTCCCCGGCTATTAGTACCTGAGACGGCGTGCGGTTTTAGTCGGTTCGAGCCCGACATGCCACCGACAGGTGGTATCCGAGGGGATTTCCGCACGGAAAAAAAAAAAAAGGGCAAACAGGCTCTTTTTTTAAATTATTTATGCCAGCGTTTTGCAAATATCTGTCAATTGTCGTTCTTAATTGTACTCCTTAAAATTAAGTACCTATGTGACATATTATGTAACGTATTTGTTTTGTTCGTTGCAGAAGTGATGCGGCGCGTGGCGTGCGGCGACGTGTGTCCCGCGCCGCCCGCGCCCCCCCCGCCCGACCACAGGTGCGTCACTTCCCCTTGCTGAGCTCTACTTATCCCACAAACAATGAATGATACTTTAAATTAGTTTCGTACTTATTTGTAAAGCAGAGTGCAAAAGGGCAGCGAATGACATCCATATTTACCTAGATTAGATTTTTATCGTGAAAAAGCCATGGTTCGGCACAAATGGGCCGGCTCGACCGGAGTGATACCACAACCTCACAGAATAGCGAATGAATAAAGTTACAGGGGAACCACCGCCCACCCTTCCTTAATGGAACAAGTGGGGAAGAGAAAAGCCAGAAGCACAAATAAAATAAAATCTCTTGAATTTGTTACCCCATCAGATATAGATTTTAAAACAATCGCATATTATAATATAAGAGCAGGACAAACTTTTAGGATATGGAATTGGTAAATACACAATTGCATATAAAAACATATTCCTATCAGTACCTACGTCCGTGGATATTCCTATAATTTATAGATGTTATTTTACGGTTTCAGGACATCAGAAAACAAAGAGCTGTTGCGCCAACAACTACTATCAACGAGTAAAGAGCGTCTCGAAAAGCAGGAGTCTCCAAAGCCGAAACACGCCCGTAACAGACAGAAAAACCGTTGGAAGCTCAAGTTCCATCACCAAGCTTTGCCACAGGAATACCTCGATCACTACGAGCAAAGTTTACAGAAAGAGAACGCGAAGCAAGTGCAGCAAAAGCAACAGAAGCCCCCAGAGAAGACCAAAGCCGAGCCTAACATTGACATCAACAATTTTACTAATGAAACCTTTAAGATCTGGGCGCAAAGACTAGCTGGTATTCAGAATGAGTCAGGAACATTAACGGTGCCACAAGTGTCGTCAATGCTCAATATGGCAGCTAAACCACCAACTAAGTCTGATGAAAAGAAAAAGAAAAATCCCGCTATAGCTCCTAGCAGAATTGTAACCTATGACGACCTACCGTATATGGGAGAAATGACCCTAAACAACTCGAAGCCCAGGAGAGGAAGGAAGCCGAAGAAAGCTGACATATGCCACTTAATTTATGAAAACTATGGAACTGTCGTGCCAGGACAGCCACCGCCCGCGCAGGAGAAAGTGAATCCTCTAAACATGTGTCCTCCTTACAGGAGTGGTGATAATCCGCCTTTAAGTAGTCCTAAAACCGACTTGCAGAATAAAATTATCTCAAGTCTACTGGAGAGAAAATTGTCGCAGGAGAATAAAAAGCGACTAGAATCTCTGACACCTCCCAAGTTCAATAGTCCAGATGAGCCCATGCCGGAGGCCCCGATTACCATCGCAGGACCACTGCACAGCGACGAGGAACCCCTAAACCTTTGTATAAGGGACCTGCACGACCTAAAGTTACAGATACAGAAAAAATTCGGCAACATTTACGCATCCCTACCTGAAGTTAAGACTGAAGTCGACACTGAATCATCAGAACAAGATGGTGCAAGTGCTGATCAACCCCCTAACGCAATATCTGTGATACAGAGGAATACAAACCTAGTGTCTACGACGGCGAGCAGTTCTCCCGATTTGTCAAGGCCTAACCGACCAATTTCACCCGCCTTATCAGAGCCAGCCCAGGGAACCGTAAGCCAGGAAGGCGACGGAAAATTTCCACTCGTGTACTGGCCTAACGCTGGCATCTACATGCACCCCTTAGCCTTACAAACACAGTTGCTTTATTACCAAAGATTGGCAGCTGCGGGACAATTGCCCATTTCTGCCGACGATCCCAACCGTGGTCCTTCTACACCGAATAGTGTCAGCGAGCTCTCGGAGAACTCCTCAACGTTAGACGATAACAAGAATAAACTGGTGCTTAAACAAATCTCAGAACTGCTCGATCCTAAAGTTATTAAACAAGTTGAAGAAGCCAAGCGAAGTCCTGACCAGACAAAAATGAAAAGAACATCACCGAATCCAGTTCAGGGTCCAATCAAGAGGAAAAGATCAGCAATTTTTATTCCTCCAATACCCACTAAAACTAACTCCACAACGCCAACGACCGAAGTCAGTATCTGTAAGTTTAAGTTCACAGGGGGATCAAAACCATCATTACAAGAGAAAAAAATGTTGTCTGTCGATTCTGGCGGCAATTTTAGGTACTACAGTGGCACAGGAAATAAGGGGAACAAAGGTTACGACTACCTGCAAAGAAATTCTAACCAAAGCATAGACACCGCGGGCGAATCATCAGCGTCTGCGCCAAAAAACGACAGTCAGAGTTCTGCTTCCAGCAAAGAAGAATTGAGTAAGAAGAAAAGGAAGTCGAGAAAAAGTTTACAGAGGGAAAAACTTGAGCAAACTTTTAAAGAGAAAGGTTTTCTGATCCAGACACAACAATTACAATCGGCCGAAGGTGCGACGTATTGTAAATTCCGACAACTGAGAAAGTTCACGAGATACCTGTTTAGGAGTTGGAAGGATTACCTTCCAGGAGAGTTAGAAGAGAATCAAAATAATGTAAAGAATGCCGAGCAACCTTCGCCAACAAACGACGGCGCTGCAGCTGGTGAATGGGGGTGATTACCCCACGAAATATGACCAAAGCAATTTGTTATAGTTACAGACCGGTGTTTAAGTGACAGTGAATAGACGGTGAAAATTGGACTATATCGTTGTAGGCGAAGGTCTATATTTGACCTGAAGTTGTTAAGCGTGTGGAGTATTAACAGACCGTCTGGTCGAATAATGCATTTAATATCTTTTCTAGTGAGATTTAACTTAAAAACGATTAATTTGTTTGTGTTCTGTGCGCCACTCCGTCCACAATGAATGGTTATTTTATAAAATAATTATTGTTATTAACTGTGCCTTCGCTTTGGTGTAAATGATTTGTGTGTCGTTAACTAACTTTAAGTTTTAAATTGTCGTTTAAAAATCTCAATGGAGTTAACAAAATTGTTGATACTTTGTTTAAATTCCATTGAAAGTACTGAACCCGTTTTGTATATCGACACTTAATGACGCTCTTCCTAATCTCCTGAAATAATCGTCGATTGTTTGAACTCGTGTTCAACGTTAGTAAAGCCTAGTGTAGGACTATTGAGCAGAGCGTTTTTATAACATTGTTAACTATTTGAAATGTATGATCACTAACAAAGCTAGTCATGTCACACCTCTAACTTAGGGTAACTACTATAGTTTAATGTTGTACATAAGTTAAATCGGCAACCTGTACATATACAAGATACGAGAGGCATTCTAGTCATAATTATAAGTTTATACCTTGTTATTAATACTGTACAGATATTGGATATAATTATTATATTTATAATGTTTTCATAATTTTATAAATAAATGAAATAAAAAGAGATTTGTATACAATAAACTTTATTACAAAAAAAACATTGATTCCATGATTATATTATACAGAAATAATGCAATCAACAGGAATGTAATATACCAATTAAATATTTAACCAAATCGATATTGTGTTTGAAAAACATTTAGTTCTTGACAACCTTCTTTTCATCCTTTTCGTCGTAAAAGTGTAGAAAAAAGATTTTTTAACAAAGATTTTTGTAACAAAAATTAGGTAGCATGTGTCCTTAACAACTAATTTCCAATAGACGATGAAATTCATTTTCTTATTTAATAAATTCTTACTCACTAACGTGCTATAATCCATCCAAAACGCATCGTAAACCTTGTGTGATATATATATATATATAAGTATAAATGCACTCCATATAAATAAAAAAAGACCTAATTATAACATTGAACCAGTTATGTGCATCTCTTCTGCACAGCAAAGAAATCATCTTGTGTGCGTTAGAATAGGATTATTCGTTTCGGTAGGAACAAGTCTAATAGTTACTCTTAACACAGCAATATGCTTAGGAACTAGATATTGTTTTTCAACTATTAGAACCATAGTTTTGATCAGAATGTGTCCAGGAATGTAAATTTTGTTAATTTAGAACTATGGTTTTCATACAAAGAGATTAACGAGTTTGTGGCAAATAAACGTAGAAAACAGTTGACAGATCATAAAAAATCTTACAAATAAGTATTGAAAAGATTAGGAAAACGGGAGCGTAGAGTCGTTTTACAATTTTTAAAGCGGCTAGATGTAAAGCCAGGTCCAGGTCTCCAAACAGGCGGTGTGAAGATGATCGCATACCGTCCACTTGGCTGCGTGTCTACGCCTTGAGCACCTGGTGCACGGCGGCACTGATGTGTGAGGCGGAGATGCCGTACTTGTCGAGCAGAGCCTCGGGCGGACCTGAACGTGGGACCTCGCGCACGCACACGTGTTGCACGACCACGTCGCGCTGCAGGGCCAGCGCCGACATCACCGCCTCGCCGACACCACCTGCGAAATATTATGGACTCGTTAATACTACGAGTGCGAGCGGTCAAATCGATAACACTAGTCAAGAACAAAAAAATAGCTAGAGGATATAACAAAAATTAAAACAATATAGTCTTCGATTCTAGCCCCACCACCTTACGAGTACGCGTCCCCGGGTTCTGAACCACTACATCTCAGCCCCGTTTCCTATCCGAGACTGCGGTATCGTTTACTTACTCCTAATAAACTGCACACGACCACGACCGAATGGCGTCTTGGTTTGTGTAACGGATTGCTATTTAAAAGGTCGCGAGTTCAATTCCCGCTTAAGTCAAACATTTGTGTGCATGATTTGATGCACATTTAATGTTTGATTTGGTTTGGGTGTTTCTTTGTATAATATATGTGTATTTACAAAAATAAAGTATATGTATTTATATCAGTTGTCTAGTACCCATAGTACAAGCTCTGCTTAGTTTGGGACTAGATGGCGTCGTGTGAATGTGGTAAAAAAAATAATTGAATTGAAATTATATCTTTGTCCCTTCTAAAAACGGGTAGGTGTATGTATCGTCGTCAAGTAGACGACTGACCATACAGAAACCAGGAAAAACTACGCAATGTTACATTATCGTTAATATCAAGGCAATGATAATGAATCAAACCAATCAATGTACAAATTATAGGGCCATTTAAAAGATATTATGAAAGTAACCACTGACCGGCTTGATAGTGGTCCTCGACGACGACGACCCTCCCCCCCACAGCCCGCGCGTGCTGCACCAGCGCAGCCTCGTCCAGCGGCTTGATGGTGAAGGGGTCCAGCACACGGATCTCCACTCCTGGACAAAATACATTGTTTTGTTAACAAAAATTAATAAAGAGGAAAGATGTTATATTTTGAATGAGAAGGAAATGTATTTAGTTTATCAACAACAGCCTTTAACAGTCCACTGCTGGACATAGACCTTCCCTTAGAAAGGAGATTTTGGCCTACTATACTACATTGGCTAGACTGGTTGGTCTATACCTATGGTATGTGTCAAGTTTTCCTTTTTTTGTAGTGCTGGTGTCCTGTGTAGTTTGCTCCCTTAGTCGGCTCTTACGACACCCACGGGATGAATAGGGGTGGTGACACTCTGTATTCTTAATCCGTCACCACATGGATAATACATTTAGTCGGTTCATACAAATATATTTTTTTGGCTGGCGCAAATATCATGCATATACTCAGCAACCGTAACCGTACCTTCAGCTTTGAGCGAGTCCGCAGCGGAGAGAGCCTCGTGTAGGGTGATCCCCGCCCCCACCACCAGGGCCCGGTCCTTGGGGGACTGGCGGACTATCTTGGCTTGACCCACCTGCATCATAAAATATGATTAAATACTGAAAAATATCTCTCGAAACTCATGGCGATCTTCTTTTGAAAAGCCAACGTGCGCCGGAGAAAGATAAATAGTATCACTTTAGTCGTAATCGAGCAATAATTTGAATGTCAACAGATAGTATAACAATATTTTACTCTAATTTCTTGTACTTACTTTAGTCAGTATACAAATATAATAAAGGTAACCTTGAAGACTTCGTCGTTGGGATAGACGAGCGCGGTGTTGGGCCGCGAGGTGCGGATGTAGCAGACGCCGCGCGTGTTGGCCGCCAGCTCCACCGCGCGCTCGCACGACACCGCGTCACTGGAACCCACGCGCACCGGTCAGTGACCACTCACACACGACTACCTGCCCACTCCGGGACGGCTCGTACTCACGAGGGGTAGAACACGGTGGCCGTGGGCACGGAGCGGAACATGGCGAGGTCCTCGAGCCCCATCTGCGAGGGTCCGTCCTCTCCGATGCTCACGCCGCAGTGCGAGCCGGCCAGGTTTATGTTGGACTGGCTGATGGCGCCCATGCGGATCTGTAGAGAACGTATAGAGAAATTATTGTGCCGTTAGCCCCGAACGAACGCTCCGAGCGTCGACCGTGAGTTCATTATGACGGTCCTTCACCTGGTCGAAGGTTCTGGTGAAGAAGGCGGCGAAGGTGGAGGCGAAGACGACGGCTCGGTCGCGACAGGCGGCTCCCGTCGCCACGCCCACCAGGTTCTGTTCCGCGATGAAGCACTCGATGTATCTAAACCGTAGGCCAATCCGTTAAATTATTTTTTCACATTCTCACTAAAATTATACAATACAATCTCAACGAAACAAAAATGTAAGTTTGGTGATAACCAAACCTTTTGGCCTAAATGAAAAACATAAATAGTTTCCCACACAATGTTTTCCTTCAATTTAAGTTTAAAGCAATCATTATAATTATATAATAGTAGGCCAAAACATCCTTTCTAAAGAGAGGCCTATGTCCAGCAGTAGACTATTATAGGCTGTTGATGGTGATGAATCATTAATTACTTTGACCAAATATCAATAATGTATGTATCTCACCTGTCAGGGTATGCGTTGCGCAACTTGTCACTGAATGTAGAGTTCTTAGTGTCACCGTCCAACGCGATCACACTGCCAACGAAAAATACACATTTATTTCACAAACTAAACATTGCTTCTCCTCTCTTAAAGTCAGTTTAAGTAATGGTACTCATTGCAAGTGATATTATTGTAGTATGAACAGTTATAAAGTCTTCGGCAAGGTTTGAGGTAAATGATTAATTGGTTGTGGGCTTCGGTTGCCGCATTTAGACTCAAGACTAGTTAGCTAGGTGAACCAACCAAGCTCCTTCCAGAAGCGAAAATGAATAATGAGAGTAAGGATCACAGAGCTCTACGTCTCGTTACTATCCAACTGCTTGAAGCAAACAGGGCTAATGTGTTTATCTGTTTATTTGTATTTTGTTCTTAATACACAATTCAACAAATAAAATAAAATAATTGCACCATAATTAGAAGAGGGGAGGGTATTTGCATCTTTGTTGTTAGTATTTTATGGTAGAAATAAGGTTAATAATAATTAATGTTTATCAGCTAGTTGTTTATCATTTAAATAATCATTTATGGAATAATAGCATTTTTGTAGTATTTTGTAGCATATTTCGTTAAGGTGCAAGACATATTGACTAATTTTCTTAATAGTCAATGCAGTCTACGTAAGGAAATGTTATCATTCGAATAAGTACTCAAATTCCGATAATAACTAGCGTGCACTGAATGTGTTCATGTGTGAATGCTACTGCCCACATCGTCCGACATCGGTCGCGTGAGTACGACAAACACGTTTATTTATATTGCACTAAACTAACGACAATGCACAATGTGTGCGTTATCTCAGAGAAGTCAGTGCTTTTTATTTATAACTAGAAAATAATCAATGAGAGGAGAGATATGGGTTACTAAGAAACTGAAATTACGGGCCTGTTGGTCCAGTGGTTAGTTATTCCGATGTTGAGTTAAGGGTGGTGGAATCAATTCCCACGCAAGACAAAAAAACTTGTGATGAGCATTGTCATTTGCTTCAATGTCAGGGTGCTAATTTACAATATATATTTGATTAGAAATGTCAGTTTGTTCATGGGAAATCTGGTTACCAAAGTATTGATTGATTGATTACTGGTGTAAGATATCTCAAGGTTGGTAACTTAATTATTTTTTTGGATATTTTTAGACTGTCATATTACCAGCATAATTCAGAACCAATGTCAAAAGAAAAACATACAATTAATAGATAGATATTCTAAGTCATACTATATTTGTTGTTTTTCAGGAGACCTTGTTGTGAACATTAATACCCAAATAAATATCATATCACCTCAGTTACACAATGTGTTATTTTAATAAAACAGTGAACTAATTTTAATTGTTTCATAATGTTTTTGATAAGCTACATAATAATACGTCATTTGGATAGATTTATTACACTTATCATAATTTTTTTATTTCTTTATCATTGTCTATGGTTGAGAGAGCATTGTACTTTAGGCAATACATTTGACTCTATGATAACGCAATAGCGATGATTACGGATGTCGTTGTTTATATAATACTAGCTGGTACCCGCGACTTGGTTCGCGTGGAATTTGAAAAGCGCTGCCTTTGTGGGGTCGATTCCCAGATCAGGCAAAATTTTAAAAGGTTTTTCAGAGAGGAAAAATAGCCTAAGTTACTTCTTATATATACAGCTACCTGGTATTAAAATATTATCAAAATCGATCAAGCCGTTTATAAGATTACCCGGAACAAACAGACAGAGAAATTTTTAAACTGATCTTAAGGCATAGCTATCGGGCAAATAACCGTGTGAGCATGAAAAAAAAACCTATTATTTTACCATTACAAACAGACGCTTCAATTTCATTTATTTGTATAGAGTATGTGCTAGCCGTTTCTTGCAGCATTATGGTTACTGCAGCCTTTAATCCTCCATCCCATTAATTTAATTACATTTTGCATGGACACTGTTTCGCTTTTAAGGTCATAGACCGATGTTAAATCTATACTAATATCATAAAGCTAGTTATTTCTGTATATTTATATAAATTCACTTATCTCTGGAACTAGTACTCAGATTTGAATAACTCTATTTCGATTTATTATTCATTAGAAAAGATTCAGCGTTCAGTGTTCATGTGTCAGTTTTTCTTTATCAATTGCTCTAGTGTGACCTGGTTGTATGACAGTTTCAACAAGGGAATGTAGTTATGGACTCACCGCATGTTGGTGTCGGCGATCTTCTTCAAAGCAGTTCCGTAGGCGAGGCGGGTGGCCACCTTCTCCCCCTTCTTGTACGAGGGGGGCGCGGACAGCGTGATGTCACCGATGTGGACCTTGGGAGCCTCTCCCAGAGGGGCTTTGGGTTTCAGGCTCACTGTGCTGTCTTTGATCAGGGATTGTAGGTGCTGCAAATATACAAAGTCTATGTTATTTTATTTGACATTATAATATATTAAAGTCATCATCATAATTGACGAATCGTTTGTTTGGGATAGGGAATGTTTTCAAATTCAGGCAATTTCTAAACTATCCTTAAAAATAAATATTGGCATTTGGTGAGGTATTATTCAATGTATAAGTGAATAACTAGCGTGCACTTAATGTGTTCATGTATGAATGCTACTGCCCACATCGTCCGACATCGGTCGCGTGAGTACGACAAACACGTTTATTTAGCACTGTGTTAATAATAATGCACAATTTATTTGCACTATTTAAATTGTAACTAGGTGCTGTAATTTGTTTAATCAATGCCTTAAGTGTATGTATACCAAGTATATGTACAATGCAGTATTTATTTTTAAACAAAATTGAGTGTCATAGGTCATCTGTTAGTAGAACAAGACGAACTAGTAGAGATAAGGGCTTATTAATGGTGTTTTGTGGGTTATATTTTTTACCGATACAAATTTTTCCTTAAGATAACTACTATAGTTCCACAAAGTTCATATTATACGTCGTCAAATAATAACTTAGCAGTTTAGATCACTAAACACTTCTAGTGTTACATTTGAAGTCAAGTAGTGGTTTGGTTCCCACCCAAGACAAATAATTGTGTCATGAGCACAACCATTGTTCTGTGTCTGAGTGTAATTTATCTTTAATTATGTATGTATTTAGAAATAAAGGTGTTTATTAGCAGTGTGGCTACCATAGTTCAGGCTATGCGTAATTTGTATCTACTGTTTCTCTGTAAAAAGAAGTACACGCGAAATACGTCGACTGCTGTTTATATCATTATAGTTCTTGATAGTGTATTTTACCTTAATGATCTTTTCTCCTTCAGCACCAAGGGCCTTGCCGTGCCAGTTCTCCAGGTCCTCAATGCCAGGGAAGTTCTTGCCCTTAAAGGTCTTAGCTACAATGGCGGTGGGCTTGCCAGAAACTGTGGCGGCCTCGTCGAAGGCCTTCACCAGCTCCGACACGTCGTGACCGTCCACCACCAATGAGTGGAGGCCGAAAGCTTTGAGTCGCGCATCATATACTTCCAACTGTGAAGAGAATTCAAGTGTTATACTAAAGATTATCTACTATTGTATATCATGTACGGATCTTAAGTTATTAACTTCGTGCAATCTGTGGCAAAGATAATTGCTTAGATTTCTATTTAAAATATAATCACCACCCCTTTTCATCCCGTGGGTGTCGTAAGAGCTGACAAAGATAGTAAACTACGCAGGACAACGGCACTGTAAAGAGAAGCAAAACTTGAAACAAACCCTATACCAACCCATCTGGCCAGCATGGTATAGTAGGCTAAAACCTCCTTTCTAAGGAGAAGCCTATGTCCAACAGTGGACAAATTAAAGATGTTGATGGTATCTCTGTCTATTGACACCTGCATCTCAAGAGTCACAAGTGCATTGCCTTTTGAGCCCCCCTACTAAGAACCAACCCATTCATGCCAAAGCATGGCTCCATTAATGGTGATGAAATTGGAACATTTTTCAATTAATTGTGTGTCTGTCCTGTTGGTCCCAGTCCATATCGGTTTCCCAGGGGTCGACATAAACAAAAACTGATCTTGGGGGTCGACAAGGTTTAAAACTCGACCGCTATTAATTAACACAAGTTCTTGCTTCAAACTTTCAAGATACTGTATAAGTTGTATTACGTGTATCAACTTGTTATAAGACTGACTAATATTTTAGTATGAAGTATCATTCATCATTCATTCATCATTGTTCTACTTTTAAAATAACTTAACAAGTCGATAAGCGTGCAGTAATTTGGCTATGGGGGGGCTGAGGTTTCAGGTCATTTTAGAAGGAAGTCTCTTGCTCAAAATAGTTTGGGAATACCAGGTGTGGTGGCTAATGATCTGTGGGTGTGGGTGGGTTGGTACTTAGGGAATGTTCTTACAACTCACATGTACATACACACATAGTGTACGCCATCTGCGACTGATTTAGATATCTTATCGCCGTGTTGTTATGATCACATATCGTATAGCATGACTTGTCTACGATCAAACACATTTCGCATATGTATCGTCGCTATTGGATCATGCGCTAGCTAAGTTTTAATGAAGATACTGGATGTATGATCATCGGTTGTGCAACCAAAACTGCACTTTATTATGCCAGAGCTAAAGTCTCTATTTATTTCTAAGAGTTTTACTCACTGGAGCCTCTGTACTAGTTTTTAAATTTATAGTCAATTAGTACCAGTCTGGTATATTTTGTGACATGATTACATTGTTGCTATGTCTCAGGGATCATCTTATGTCTATCGATGCAATTAACATCTTTTCTAAAAGTAATTTGTTGGAATTCTATTGTTTTTGTATGTATCTAGTTATAAAAATGTTAAGTTGGTTTGTGTACGCTTCAAAAACTCAAAAAGTTCAGCATCGATTGACCTTAAATTTTGACATGATATGCAACATGCTTCAAAAATTGTTTTTCTATTCTTCACATTAGTTTTGTTCCTCACTTCTCAACAATGCATCCAAAATGTGCCACAGGCAAGCATGGTAGGGTAGTTAGTAGTAATATTTTTTCCATGGTGAAATCCACACCACAGTTTTAGTGAGTTGTGTTTAACAAGCTAACGAAATTTTATTGAGGCTTCCTATTGATATGAGTACACTTCCGGTTCAGTCTTATGAAACTGCTTAATGATAGGCACTACTTGTATTTAAATATGGAGGATGTAGCTTGTAGCGTTAAATTATATAGGGTACTACCTGATGTTGCAGTGACGTGGGCTCGGATTGCCCCAGACGGTTCACGTCGAAGATGACGACGAGATTGTCTAGCTTGTAGTGGCTCGCGAAGTGCAGCGACTCCCACACGCTGCCCTCCGCAGCCTCGCCGTCGCCCACCACACAGTACACCCTGGAGAAACAGGACCAGTTATGTGACCAAACCATATATCACTTCATAAAAAACTTTTACTCAACTTATAAGTTATTATTCGTCGTAACTACAGCAAAACAAAAATTATATTTAAAACATGCTATTGCCCGCGGATTCGCTCGCGTGACTATTTTTTATTGCTATCTTTGAAAATGAACTTTATTCTTAGTACCTCCTGAGAAAGAATTTTTGGGAACTACTTAAATTTCACTTCGCCACCCCGTGTATGTTTTTAGTCCGGTTTAGGCTCTGCAGTGATGGTCTGTCAGATAAGGCAAGTAATTTTATATAAATTACATGAAATAAAACGTTACCTGTAAGGTGCTTGATCGAAATATTTTCCGACGTACGCCATACCGGCGGCGACGGCTAATCCTTGGCCGAGGGACCCGGTACCCACATCTACAAAGTTCAGTCTTGGAGTGGGGTGACCCTCGAGGTCGGAGTCCAGCTTGCGGAGATTCTTCAGATCTTCGACGGGAAAGAGCCCGGCTTCAGCCCACGCGGCATAGAGAATGGGTGCAGCATGACCCTGGAAACTTCTTTCACGTTAATGAGGTCTCAACTTTCATTAAGTGAGACATTAAAGAAATATATTGAGACATGAGACATATTGGTGTTTCATAATAAGTTTCCATCTACCCCTTGAGGGATTTAGACGTGGGTGTATTTAGGGTATGTTTTTATGTACCTATAAGACGGTTCTTGATTGTATTTTGTATTGGGGTGAAAAACCGATATTAAAGTTTTATAGTATTTTTCATTTATTAAGTTTATCGTAGATAAAATATTATTACATAGAAACAAATCAAGGCATCAGATCACGTAACTATTTATTAGTTGTCTGATAATCACAAACTATGAAAGATTTTTTCTTTTTAGTCCCTTAATTATTAAACAGAACAGCTCAATAAAGTTGATTTATGGCTTAAGAAGTGGAGAATCAAACCTAGCGTAACCAAATCGACACAAATAACATTCACACTCCGAAAAGGCGACTGTCCACCTGTTCTTATGGAAGACAAGCCATTACCAAACAGTAACAGCGTGAAATATCTCGGTCTACACCTGGATAGAAGACTTACCTGGGCTAATCACATAAAAGCCAAGAAAACAGAAGCCACCTTACAATTCAAAGGTCTGTCTTGGTTACTGGGACGTCAATCCCGGCTGTCAATCGGAAACAAACTACTCGTATACAAGACTATAATAAAGCCAATCTGGACCTACGGGATAGAGCTCTGGGGTTGTGCTAGCAATTCCAATATCGAGATTCTCCAGAGATTTCAAAACACTGCTCTAAGAACAATTTCAAGTGCACACTGGTTCGTGAGAAACACGGAAATACATGAATACCTGGAGATGCCAACCGTAAGGGAGGAAGCTTGTAAAATAAGCAGGAGATACAAGGAGAGGCTCAATAAGCACACAAATGAACTGGCTAAGAACCTATTAAACCGACATGAAGATGTGACTCGCCTGAAAAGATAGATACGATAAGATACTAAACATAGACCAGAGAAACTAACTACTTAGTATCTGTCAACTCATACGGTGCTGTTTAATGGAATCGCACCCGACCCAAATTAATCCCAGAAAACATCTGATTACGGCTGAAAGCCGATTGCAGATATATATAAAAAAAAAAAAAAAAAAAAAAAAAAAAAAAATTATTAAAGGATATTCTGAAACTCCATGTTTGCTATCTTTTTGGATTATTAAAAAAAAATGACCTGAGGAATGATGCATCCCCTTAGCTTTTCAGTTTAAAGTTTTCTGTATTCCCTCGACTCAGTTGTCTAGATGCCTTTTAAAACTTTTAACAAAATTTATTTATTGTACGGTACTTCGAAATTAAATCTAAATTGATGTCTGTCTCAAACTAGGATGTATTTTTGTACCATCTATGAAAGTTGTAAAGCAGGCGTACCTTTGAGAGAATGAACCGGTCGGCGGAGGCGTCTCTGGGCGCGGAGATCTTGTACCGCATGGTGTTGAAGAACAGCACCGACATGATCTCTGCCATCGACGCGCATGATGTCGGGTGACTAAAGAAAAATAAGCAGTTATGAATTACTGGCTGACCCACATAAGTTTGTCTGCATTTCTCAAAAGAAATAAATTTGGATCATTTTGTAACATTTTTAATTGATGCTGGGTTCCTATTGGTGATATTGTGGTGTTATATAGACTTCCTTGATAAATAGGCTTTCCAACACTAAAAGGATAATCAATTTGAACTAGTAGTTTCTAAGATAAGCGCCTTTAACCGTGACGGATTAAGAATACGGAATGTCACTACCCCAATTCATCAACGATGTAACCAAAACAAACAAATTCCGCAGCTTAGTATTAGTATAGATGACTAACATTCAAATTGGAGAGTCGTTATTGATTTCTTGATATTTTGTAATATTATTAGCTTTTTATCTATATGTATACCATACTTGGTATTAGGTTACACACTGTAAATTTAGCACATGAATGTAATTTACAATGGTGCCATTACAAAATCTGAAGTAACAACTACTCGTGTTACCGTTACCAGCCAGAATGTGAGACATTTGTGAATGCTACTGTGCACTTGCGACCATTTGGTCGCAGGTAATTCCCACATACACCATTTGATGTAGCACATAAAAGTAACACGTTATACACATTGTATTTGTGTTGTTACTCTCTGTGCGTGTTGTGTCTTATCCTGTCATTGCAATTCGAGGCTCGCAACATTCCTGACTATGTGGAGCCCTAAATTTTAACATAATATTGTGAATGTGAGCTTGTTTGCTAGGCTTTCATGGCTGATCATTGACAACCATTATGAGTTTTTGCATATCAGCGCTTGACTTATATATCTCTAATTATGTATATGGCAAAACAACGTTTGCCGGGTCAGCTAGTATTATTATAGAATATTAATTATTTTAGAATAACCACGGGAGCACAAGAGAAGAGGAAGGTGGATGGACTGTGTAAGGCTGTATAGCTGGGAAGGGAGTAAACAGTGAGATGACGTGTATTTATGCCCGTGTACACATGTATGGAACTCATTCTACATACTTTTATTGGATAGTAACGATTGCCTTTCTGTTGTTGTTATCCTCGTATACTGTGATGGTAGGACTCAGATACTAATAAAACTTCGTCATAGTCCTAGAATAGTGTCAGATCTGACATTTTTTAAACTGTACAGGGCAGCCATTTAAAAAAAAAATGTTGTTTTTGAAATAACTTTTTAAATTCTAAATCTGTAATTATGAAAATTAGCATAAAAGTGAAAAATAGGGTGTTTTAAAATGCAATTAAAATAACAAATAAAATAAATAATAATAATTAAACAATTTTCTAGAATAATCACATGCTTAATTTTACTTTGAGCGCCTATCAAAGAACATGACGACCGGATGGTGTAGTGTTTTGTGTAACGGACTGCTATTCTAAAGGTCGCGGGTTCGATTCCCGCTTTAGCCAAACATTTGTGTGCATGAACATTTAATGTTTGATTTTGTCTGGGTGCTTCTATGTATAATATGTAAGTATTTACAAAAAAAAAATATATTTATTTATATCAGTTGTCTAGTAGCCGTAGTACAAGCTCTGCTTAGTTTGGGACTAGATGGCGTTGTGTAAATAGGGTAAAAAAAAACAAAAATAATAACTAAAATACACATTACATATTTTTTCTTGAATGTGGTAATAATAATGTAGTATCTAAATATGGTAAAAACTAAATTTTGTATTTTTTTTCAAACCCGACATTATATTTTAACATTAGCATACTATTAAAAGTTTAGTTTTTAAATATGTGGTAGTAGGTGGTGGAGATGCTGATTTATTTTGTTTTAGTGATAAAAGTTATTTTAAGTATTTAGCTTCAGCAGTAGGAGTGTATCAATGACCTTAACTTGACATTTTAAATTTACCTCATATTTGTTATCGCTAGTTCACAACATTAATTGACCCAAGATTATTTGTTGTAGATGTTAAATTATCAATTGATAACTGTTGCAAAGTGTATACTGATAATCTATATTTTAATTTTGTACTATTTTAAACAAATTGGCCTTGAAAGCTTAATGCAATGTTTTAATTATTATGCACTAGCTGACCCGCGCAACTTCGTCTGCGTCTCTCAATAGTAATAAATTTTCTCCGTTTTTGAAACATTCTTCATTGGTGCTCTGCTCCTATTGCTCTTAGCGTGATGATATATAGCCTATAGCCTTCCTCGATAAATGGGCTATCTAACATTGAAAGAATTTTTCAAATCGGACCAGTAGTTCCTGAGATTAGCGTGTTCAAACAAACAAACTCTTCAGCTTTATAATATTAGTATAGATTTTCTTTGACAATATTAACCGAAATGTAATTGATTCTTTTTATTGTATATGTTAACAGAAAAATATCTTATTTTAAACAGTTCATTGTATGCAATTTCTAAGAAATATGTACATGTGTCTCACCATTTTCCAAAATATACACTTGGTGCACTAGTTGTTACTTGACTGTGTTAACAAGAGCTTTAATAAAAATTCCATTTTTGTTCTTAAAAATAACTAGCTCTAGAAATATATCCTGTGGGGATTTTAAAAACATACATGAAACGGACACAAAGACCATCCAGACTCAGAATGACAAGTTTCATCCCATGTAGGGATCAAACCCACAACACTCAGCTTAGTAGAAAGCCGTGTGGCAACTGCTTAAACCAATACTCCATCCACACAGTGATTCTCAATTTACTCATGTAAGTTACTTATTTTATTTACAGAATTCATTAGTTTTTATGAATTTCCTCTGAATTGTACACAATCCCTAGGAAATATATACATTTCACGGGAAATGTGTGTAGGAAAATATTTTTTTTTAACATTATTTTAACACATTTCCTAAACAGGCTCGTAACTATACAGTTCGGAGACTATGTAGGTATTCTTTAGAAATTTCCTTCCTGTTAATAAGAAACATAATTCCTGAAACCCTAAAGTAGCACTAATTACATTCTATATCTAAACCATCTGAAGACCCACTCAAATATTCATGTAAAGGAATGTTAGGAATGTAAATAAAATCATTACTTGCGTTAAAAATAAGTGTCTGTTTGTCTCTGTTTGTATATTTATCCTGGGGATTTGTGCAGGAAATCAGTCAGGGTTTTCCTACTGGATTAGATGGAGGCCATTGTGTAATGGCCTGAAGGACAAACTCTATTGTGTAATATTTATCCTGTGCTTAAAATAAACAAAGTGATAAACAAGTTTTAATTGTTATTAATGTTAAATTATTCAAACTACCTTTGATGAAGTGTTGGTAAATACCTACTTCTGGTGTAGGTAAACATGACATGACAGAATGGAAAACTACCGAGATTTTTGATAAGTTATAAATATATTTAACAAACAAGAAAAACTATAGAACAAACAATTTGTAAGTGTTTCTTGCCGATAACCTTGATATAGCGGCGTGATAATGTTGTCGGCGACCCACGCTAAGAGCTCACGTGGTCTGCCCGCCATAACCTAAGCGGCGACATAGCGTCCCTTTGCAAAACACACTATTACAGACGAACAAAGTCCATTGAAAATGTTAAACAAACGACCTATGACTTGTTTTTCCACCCGGCGAAATACCGGTCGAATACGAAATTTAAATAAATTAAATTATATGTAGGCAAAATGAATGCCGCAAGAAATAAAAGGTATTTTCTTATGCATATCAATAATAATAGGGATGAAAATTACGTTATCAGATTCCAATAAGCTAAAATATTCGTAAATAACCTTCATTAGACCTTCAATGTAGAATTTGTTCAAAGAGGTTATCTACTTACCCCGATTTTGATGCATTTGTGGCGACGATACTGTCGATTCTCAGCTTATTGGCAATGTCTTTAAGGGCTTGAATGTCCACATTTTTATCGCCTTTCATTGTGAAATGAGTAGTAGCACTGGTTTTAAAATTTATGAGTAACCACGCTATTTACAACCAGCCGCTTGCTTGCCGCCGGATTCAATGAGTTTGAGTTAAATAAATTCCAGTGTTGCCAACATTTAAATGAACTCTTAGGGATATTCCGATACTAATAAATACGAGTAGGTACTCGATACTTTTGATTCGATACCAAGTATTTATTGTATCGAATCAATTTTGCGATACATAATCGGTATCGAAACAAAAATACTTGGTATCGAATCGAATCAGCAAAACAACCGAATACAATAAAAAAAACCGAGAACGCATCATACAGAACTGAGAGAGCAAAAACGAGGCAAAAACAGTCAGCTAATCAGGTTACCGAGTTACCGGTATTCGTCGCGTGGCGGCGTGAGTGACGCGTTGTCTCGCGCTGGGCTAGCCGAATTCGTCCGACTTCAGCCGAGCCCGCCCGAGCCGAAAGCGAGAGAAGAAAACACCCGCACCCGCTCGCAAATCATCTCGCCATTCCGCCATTGTGAAAGTGTTAAGTGATTGCTTACAAGTAATTTTATTAATTGTAATCATCAAATTCATCGGTTTATTCCAATGTTATCATGGCACCACCAAAATCTATAATATGGACACATTTTACCAAAACAAACGAAACAATTGCAAAATGTAAACAGTGTTTTAAGTCTGTGAAGTATTGTGGGAATACGTCGAATTTATTCAAGCATTCTAAAACTCATGGAATTTCTGTGGACAAAGGCAAATTACAGAAAAAAGAAAATAATAAGTCCAACGAAAGGTAGGATTCTAAACTTTTCTTTTTTTTTGCGATTGCTTTCCTAAGATGTTAATAAAAAATCCTACCTACTCCTACCTATTTTATTTGTATAAAAAATAGTTTTGCTGCAGTGGTACTGTGATTGTCTTGTCTATATATTAATAATATATGAATAATAATTGATGACCGGTGATGAGATATTTCCTTTGTATAAATACGATTTAAACAATTTAAGGTTATGTGTTTGTTTTTGTTAGTGTAATAGTGTTGTTAAATGGCGGTAGTGTTGGAGTTGGTATTATCGATACTTTGAAGATTATCGATCTATCAAGTGTTAATTTTTGTTATTATGTTTCAGTTCAAAAAATACAATAGTGTTGGCCAACTCAAGGCATTTAATGGAAGATGATCAACCCCAAGCATCAACATCGAAAATTTCAGAAGATCGTGATGATTGCTCTAGTGTAACCACATTAACAAGTATGGACTCGGAGACTGCAAGGGAGCTATGTCTGAGCAATTCAATAAAGAATGCGTTTGAACGAATTTCATCTAATAAAGGTAAATAAATAGATATTTAATTAAATATTAGCAAAATAATATTAATACATATAGTATTAGTGTTAAAGAAAAAAATATAAATATTTAATTTAATATTACATGTATTAAAATTGAGTTTTATTTTTAGCTGGTGGTACGAAGTATAACAGAATTGTTCAAGCATTGATATTTTTTATCTGTCAAGATATGCGTCCATTTAATATAGTTGAAGGTGAAGGCTTTTTACGACTTGTAAAAGAACTGGAGCCTACTTTTAAAGTTCCTGGCGCAAAGTATTTAAAGAAAATGACTACCGAAAAGTACGAAGCTTGTATAACTATTTGTAAGTCCAAATTATCCAAGATAGACAATTTCTGTTTAACGCTGGACATATGGACAGAGACAATGAATGAAGTAGGATTCATGGGCGTCACCATACATTTTGTAGAAAATGGTCAAATGTGTATGTATTATCTTGCAACTCGTGCATTAAGAGAGCGACATACAGCTGAATACATATCGGAAAACCTGCTGGATATTTTGAAAAAATGGAATATTCCACTTACCAAAATTCGTGCTGCTGTATCAGATAATGCCAGTTCAATGTTGGCTGCCATTGGTTGGCTTTAGGCGAAAAAAAACATTTACCGTGTTTTGCCCATACTATTAACCTTGTAGTTGAAGAGGCACTAAAGTTGCCCAGTGTTAAATCAGCTGTTATAAAAGTACGAGAAATTGTTAATTGGATAAAAAATAGTGTTGTGCAGTCGGATAAGCTACGAAAAATCCAAATGCGTAATAATGTTTCGGCAGGATCAGTTTTAAAACTTATTGCAGATGTAAGAACTAGGTGGAACTCAACTTTTTTTATGTTAGAGCGATTTCTAAAGTTAAGAATAGTAATATCAGAAATTGTAATTGAGAGTGTAGTGGCTCCAAATTTGCCAAGTGCAGTGGAAATGGAAACCTTGAATGAGCTTACAACTGTATTAAAGCCTTTTGAATATGTAACAAGAGAATCATCGGGCCAAAAGTATGTAACAATCTCCAAAATTATACCAATGCTTAATTGCTTAACTACAGAACTGAATAGTATCACTCCAAACTCCGCTATCGTTAAAGAATGTAAGGATGTTTTATTGAGAGAGCTGAAAAGGAGGTATGGGATGATTGAATTAAACGATCATGCAGCCATTGCAACAATTCTAGACCCAAGGTTTAAAAATCTGCATTTCCAAGACCCCTCTGCATGCGGAAGAGCTATTCAAAAACTTAGAACCATGGTTGTCGGACAACTAAGTAGCCCAAGTGAGTCAGAAGATGATGTCTCATCTACTGCACCACCTGAATACGATTTTTGGAAACATCATAAAGAGTTAGCACATGGGCACAAGAAGAAAAAAAAATCTCATCAGGGAGATGAAGTTTCTCTTTATTTATCAAATCCAGTAGTTTCTCTTAAAAGCAACCCATTTGCAGAATGGGATGACATGAAGTTGGTGTTTCCTTGTCTGTACAAGTATGCACAGCAATATTTAATTGTTGTTGCAACATCAGTTCCTAGCGAGTGCCTTTTTTCCAAAGCCGGTGCAACAATGACACAAACAAGAAACAGATTGTCTTCTAAATACCTTGAACAGTTACTGTTTTTGGGCAATCTTAATGCTGAAAAGTTTTTTGTTTAAATTATAATAAGCCTAATAAACATTTATAATAAATAAATAGTTTTTTTCGTCTCAATTTTGTTTAAATTATTATCCTTCAACGTTCATTGATAGCACCCTCAAAATAATAAAATAAAAGTTCCAAAAAGTATCGATATCAGTAAGTATCGATACTTGAGGAGTACTTATTTGTGTAGTATCGAAAAAAGATTTGAGTATTATCGAAATGAGTAAGTATCGATACTTAGGTGGTATCGGAAAATCCCTATGAACTCTCCACCAGATTCAACATCTAAAACCACCAGAAAGGCACTTAATTTTCCACTAAACATTTTTTTGTAGTAATTACGAAAGAAAAACAAATGTACATTAATAACTAGTTTCCTTAATGAAAATATAATACTGATACTAATCCTTTTGTCAACACCATCATCGTCGGTTCCAGATTAATACGATTCTTTGGTAGCGATTTGTTTTACAACGTTTATTGGATTTTCATATTTGTTGCAGCATTCAAAATTCAACTTCAATCCACAGCGTATTCTTGACATAGCAGATAAAATATTTAACTACACTTCATTATATCAAAATTATTACCTAAAAACGCCATGTAAACAAACAACACCAGTCAGTGTGAACTAGTTTCGACCAGAAACATTCGATACATCTTATTTTGTCCCATTAAACTGATCGTGCCTGTCGGCTAGAGTGGGAACATTTAATGGCAAGTGACCATTATTACATTGCAGATGTACACCTAGCAGCACGACCGATACAATGGCGTCTATAACCTGGCAATCTCGTGCGCGACCGTCCCGCGGGGTGACAGACAGTGGCGGGGGCGAGGTAGCGCGTCATTCTAGCACACGGCTACACACAAAGAGAAGCGTTTCCCTTCCCCGATACACCACCCGCTACCCGCTGACATCTTGAGTAGTGATGTGCCGGATCGTTAACAAAGTATATCCGCGGATACGGATCCGAATACGGATATTTGGTGTCAAGATCCGCGGATACGGATACGGATCTTAAGTTTCTTACTCAATCGGAGCCCGTGACCTTGATAGTTGTCGCCACTTGACGCTTTGCCGATGATATTTAAATATTTCATTATTTTAATAAGCTAATACAAAGATGTTTGATTGATCTCATTATAAAGATAGCTCTTTCAGTACCTACGACCTGCCTAGTTGATTTAGTGTAGTACGATAAATGATTGCAATACAAAGGTGCCAAATATTTGTTTCAAGAAATAAAAAGTAATCTAAACAGAATTCAATAGTTTTTCATAGCTACCTAATAACCATTATTCTGGGTTACTTTAAATTTACTGAAAACCTCTGAAGTGCATATTAGTAATATTATAAACAACAACTTTTCTTCTGGACTAACACCGAAAACGAAAGAAAAAAAATTGTTTCTCCATACAAACTAACAACATTTGATTGGTCATTTGAATGCAGGACCAATTTTTTTTTTATTTTGACGTTGGCCAGAAAAAAAGTTGTTGATAGTGTTACAAACACATACCTAAGAGTTTTACAGTGAATACGAAGTCACCTATATAGAATTTCATCTATGTAATATGTATTGAAAGATCCGAAAAAAAGTCACGGATACGGATACGGTTACGGATCTCTCTTCTCCTTTGGATATCCGCGGATACGGATACGGATACGGATATCCGGCACATCACTAATCTTGATGGACTATAGTAGGCTAACTACCCTGACTGCAGCGTCACATATTCAGGCTAGTGGCATCATCATGAAGATATTTATTAGTTTCGAAGTCCGAACATGACAATGAAGTTGTGGATAAAGTAATTCGTACACTATACTAGCACTAGCCATAAAAAAAAACCGCCACTAAAAGGGGGGTCGAAACCCCGTTTAGTGGTAAATCTACTAGGTTGGCAGCACTGATAATTCACTTCTTTCCATAACAATCTACACTCATCCCTTCCCTCAGGCTTAGAGTGTGACGACTCACAACGGCCAACTTCACTTCAATTTCGTTATCTGTCATTTCGTAAGCTACATTTACCCATTGGTTTTGCCTACATTTTAATTTTACTGTCAACAGTTATTTCATATTAAAATATCATCTGTTTTAAATATTGCTTTTCTTCTATTTTTTGTACAAGATATATATTTAAAGCCTTCTATAAAAATAAAGATCTTCATTTAAACTGCCATCTATCAATCCGACATGGAAACAAAAGCCTAGTGTTTAATTATATAAACAGATGGCAACATATACATTTCAGCGGCCGTGTCACGATCTTCTTGACAAACTTTAACTGAACTACACTACAAACTCAGCATAGTTGTTCATTCTGATACTTATGTAAATAGATTTTGAGTACAAAATCTATTTAAATTATTATTGTCTTCAAATTATTATAATAACTAATAATTCAATCGTTCGTGCCAAAAGCTTACCATCAGGTACTATGATCAATTATAATTCAATCGTTCGTGCCAAAAGCTTACCATCAGGTACTATCAGGTACATACAGGTACATGATAATGTCGACTTCTATGCATTTGTTAACAAAACATTTCAAACCATTTTTCAAACACTTCAAGAGAGGTTCCTCTACTTACAAAAGACTTTGCTAAGAATCAACCACAAACAATTTGGAGACTTTTGGATGTCGATTATAATGCAATGACTGGGTACCTACGGAAGCGGAAATTTTATTTTTCCAGGTAAAAGTAACGTATTTTAGTTAACTATTGTTAAATTGTAAAAAATAAACTTTTTAATTTCCAATTTAATAATAGTGAACTTAGGTACAACTTTTGTTTGACCAAACTTTACATTATATTATCTGGAATGTACTACAAAGTACCTATTCTAAGGATCTAAGTGTTAATGTGTGGTATATCAGACTGCCACAAGAACACTGTCGTCTAAGCGACATCCAAGTAAAAACCAAATGAGCCAAGTTAGCTTCACAAAAACTCGCTGCCACCATATTGGCCGAGCCTCCTATATCCATTGTCGATATCCATCACACTATATCTATACAAATAAATAAAATTGAAGCGTCAGTTTGTAATGTCAAAATAATAGGTTTTTTCATGCTCACACGGTTATTTACACGATACCTATGCCTAAAAACTAGTTTTAATATTTTTTGTCTGTCTGTCTGTTTTTACAATAATCTTCAAAACGGCTGGACCGATTTTGATAATATTTTACTACCAGGTAGCTGTCTATATAAGGAGTAACTTAAACTATTTTTCCTCTCAGAAAAAACCCTATAAGTTTTTCGCCGGTGCGGGAATCGAACCCTAGACCTCATGGACTGCAGCGGACTACACCACTAAGGCATCGCTTTTCAAATTCCACGCAAATGAAGTCGCGGGTACCAGCTAGTCTCTAAGTAAAAGTTAACTTATAGCGTTCTTCGTTCTTCTACTTATACTTACTAATAATAGCTGTACTCGTACCCTGCCAAGCTTCGATGTAGTCCGTTGTGGTTGGATTGATGAGGTAGGAGGAACAAAATTGACGAGATAAAAACCATCTTTGAAGTGGGTTCTATATCTTGTTATAATTTGAGCTCAATCGGCGCAGAATTTTTAGTGTTTTTTAAAGCGCACACAAACCGACTTTACATTTACATATAAATATAGATTATAAACCGGAACAGTGTGTTTGGTTGAGCGCGTAAATCTCAGGGTGATTCTGCATGGTACCAGAGATTTCCTTTCTACATGCTCGAATAACTGGACCCCCTTAATCCTTTTCGCCAATCATGTGACCAGCGCAAGTGCCTCAACATGCGTAAGCTACTGCAAAAGTAACCTTTTCTTTTCTTTTTTTTATGTGCGGAAATTCCCCCCGGCCCTGACTGGACCCGGACTGGTACCCGAGACGGCGTGCGGTTTTTGGTTGGTTCGAGTACGACATAACCATTCCACCAATGGGTGGTATCCGGGGCTGATGGCTCAAAGCAGCAGACGCATCACGAGGTGGTGAATGACCACCGCCGCTAAGATTGACTGCACGGTTGGTGTTTTTTAAGCGGCTTCCATCGATCCCCACATGGGACAACACTTTGTGTGATCCACAAGATCTTGTTCTGAGTCTGGGTATTCTTTGTGTTCGTTAAGTTTATAAAGTCCTTCGCGACACAGGAATGTATTCCTAGTGCAGTAGCTGTCTTAACAAAAAAGTTACAAGTCTGTTATCAGCCTCTGAGGTCTCCCTCTTTTCTTGAAGTTTGGAAAAGCAAATGTGAGTGAGAGAGTCAACATTTGACATAAATGGGTCTGCTCGTTAGAAAGATTACAAGATGTACCCCCCCCTCCTCCCTAATTCTGCCTGAAAGGGCGACAGAACCTTTTTAACTATTTACTCGCAAGTCTCCGTGGGCGACGGTAGTCACTTACCATCAGGTGACCCGTCTACTTATATGAAGTAGGGGGTCCTACTTCATGAAAACATAACTTCGTGAGGGGATTACGGATTCCCGGTCAGAACGAAGTATAGCAAGAAGTGTCGGAAAAAAGTCTCATTACATATATTTCGATCTCGCTCTAATTCGCTCAGAACGTGTAAATGCGATAAGGAACTTGGTTCCAAAAAGAAAGAAAGAATTAATTTACAAGATGTCAATACTGTGAGAAAGTAACACAATATTTTTAAAACAGACATTCTGCCTAAACGACAAAACGTTTAGACAATAACAATATATGTATTTAACGCACTTGAACATTGTTTGATCAATATCAGCGAAACGACGCCATCAAACGTGTGTCATATTGAATTGATTCCATGGCGGGACATCGGACATCACGGCGCAAACATTACATTACTGCTATATTCACCCCTATTGCACACACATAGAGTTCAAACTTCATATCAGTTGTGTAATAAAAACGTCATACACATCGCAAAGTTACATTCACAGTCGTATTGACTTTTAAATTGTTAGCAATAAGGTTGTAATTTGAAGGTTTCGTATGTAATATGTTATTGGTAGATTTGTTCGATAAAATGAGGGT